GGGGTCAGGGAGCCTCGGAGAGGTTGGGAGTCTTCCCTCAGACCAGGCCTTTCTCTTAAAAATGGCCCAGTCCCCCTTGTTTGGAATTTCTGCTTTGCCCTCCCATGGGACAGGCATCTTCCGGGTGCCAGGCCGGGACGCTGATGCACTGACTGGGCCCTGCCCTGGGGTCTCCTCTGTGAGGCTCAGCGTCACAGCTGTCGGCTGTCGGCTGTCGGCTGTCGCAGGGCTGCTGGCTTTTCTGTGAAGCTGAAGCCCTGGCTCCTGGACTCCTCGGCAGGAGGAGAGTTGAGTGTGGAAGGTCTAGGAGTGGGGCGGCCACTCTGGGTCTTCACCAGGCACCCCATCTCTGCTGGGGGCAGAATGGTTGTACGGATGTGAAGGCACAGCCCATGCAGACTGGCTGCTGGGGCTGGACTGCCCATTAGTGGCTGGCGAGGCCATGGGGGGCTCTGCAGCCCCTCGCACAGCATGTGTGGAGCCGAGCAGGGGCTGGGGGAGGTGGGCAGCCTGCCAGGGCATCGCAGCTGGGAGCCCAGTTCCAGGGCTGGAGGGGCCACCTGGGTGGGCAGTGGGCCAGGTTCACAGGGACTCTGCTCCCCAGCATGGCGGGGCTGCCCCGCCAGGAACACGCCCACCCCTGCACACACTCACGTCCACTCACAACTGCACACGCACACAGATTAACAAACACGCACGCTCATGGCCTTACGCTCAGGCGCACACCTGACATGACACCCTCACACCCTCACAGGCAGGTTCAAACACCCCACATCTGTATTCATGTCACACAAGGCTCACCAGCACATGTGTGGATTCACACTTGCAGTCACAGACACACATGCAATTCACACTTGCACAGTCACACAAGATGCCCCCATCCATTCTGGTTTTTTTAATTTATTTTTTATTCCCTGCCCCCCATCCATTCTGACTCACACTTGCCTACACCCTCACACAGCTGTATTCACATGAGCACGTACACAGATTCACATGTACACATATTCACGTGTTTGCTCACATACCCACACGGATGCCCTCACACATTCTTATCTGTGTGGACACACCTGGACTCACTCTTCACACGTGCACACGTGGTCACTGATGTACATTTCCACACACACCCACCCCCGAGATCCATAGCATTCGTACTCACACCTGCCCACCCAGTCACTCTCACACACAACATTCAGACACACTCCAATCCCCCATCACGTGCACTCACACTCACACACATTCACACCCGGCACCAAGGGACTGGATTAATTTTGCACACCGATCAGTTAACACAACCAATTCAATTAAAGGTAAAGTTTCCAATTACATTCATCCCAGGGAGCCTGAAACATTCAAAGGGAGAACAAAAGTGGAAGAGAAGTCACCCCGCGCTCTTCCGGCCAGAAAGCATCTCTGTCGATGTTTTGGTTAATGTCCTTCGGAGCCTTTGTTCCTCGCTTTTAAAAACCATCTGTAGCTGTGATCATCCGATTTAGGGGCCTGCCTTCGCGCACCGCGATGAAAGCATCCCGCGCGCGCTCCCAGGCTCGTCGTTTTAACGACGTGGCTTGGCTCTCACGTGCCTGCTGGCCCCCCGCTGTCGGACAATTAGGTTGTCTCTAATTAGTCCCTCTTCCAAGGAAAGCGGCTCCGAGTGTCTGGTGCTGGAGTGCTTTCCTATATTTAGAATTATTTCCTTAGGAGAGACTCTCGTTAGTGACATTTCTGGGTCTGAGGAGGAAGGTTTTGAGGCCGGGAAGAGGCTTCCGGGAAGCTGGAGAAGCAGGGCGCTGTCCGGGGAGCGGGCTCAGCACCTTCCCGCAGGGCGGCCGGACTCAGTCTCAGCCCCTGGCTTCGGAACGTGGAGGGCGTCTCCCCGCGGCTCCCTCCTTGGGTATTTTTATTTGCTAAGTTCCCTGATTTCAGATGTGCTAATTCCCCAGGATGTCAGCAATCACTAAGGCATACAAATGAGCAGTGCAGAGAAAAACTAAAATTAATAACTGTAAGACGACATAAACCCTATCAAATGGTGATTCTCCATTTGCCTTTGCATCCAGGGAGGGTAGGGACCTCCAGCTGGGTGTTCCGTGCTGCAGGAGAGTGGTCTCAGCCAGAGCTTGGCTCCCCTGCCCCGACTCACTTCCAGCTCAGGCCCCAGTCCTGGCCTGGCAGCAGCATCGCACCAGGCCATTAGCGCAGGTAGAATATGGCCCCCAAGACGTCCATGCCCTAATCCCCAGATCCTGTGACTATGCTGGTTCCTGACAAAGTGACATTCCGTGGGCTCATAAGGAGGACTGGAGATGGGGAGGTTATCCTGCCGGGCCCAAAGGAATCACAACTGCCCTTGAAAGTAGAGGCGGGGAAACAGGAGACCCAGAGACGGCAGCCTGAGCAGGACTCTGCCCAACGTGGCTGGAGGAGGGGCCCCGAGCCCCGGGATGCAGGCAGCCTTCAGAAGCTGGGAAAAGCAAGGAAATGGGCTTTCCCTCAGAGCCACCAGAAGGAACACAGCCCCCGGTAACACCTTGATTTTAGCCCAGTGAACCCTGTGTCAGAGTCCTGACCTCCAGGACTGTACGAAAACTGACTTGTGTTGTTTTAAGGCACTAAGTTTGTGATAATTAACACGATACCAGCCACAGGAGTTGAATCCTCCATCAGAGGCTTTTCCTGTTCCGTCTCCCATCCTTCTGCGCTCAGAACCCACCAGCAAAGTGAGGGAGGAAAGCAGGTGAGTGAAAGAGTGACAGGAAGAAAGTGTGGGCTCGTTTTCTCTGAGTGGAAGGGCTTCTCTGTGTGTGACTTAATTCTCTTCTTTTTCCGGACTTCCTACAGGGGGCATGGGTGAAATTAATTCTGAGATGTACATGAAACACACACACATAAAAACCAAGTGAATAAAATCATTTCATGAACAACGTATCCCAGGACAAAGCTCCCAGCAAGGACAGATCATCTCTAGATCTAATAACACGAAACACTGTTCACGGTCTGTTAATCCCAAAGGCAAGTTGCAAGATGCTGTATAAGGTATGATGACCTATTTTGGTTAGAAAAAAAGTCCTTACCAGGATAAATTTGAGCAGAGCAAAATCTGGACCAACACAAGTGTCCACCAGCCATGAGTGGAGGGAGAGTCTTGGGGGGAGCAGCTCCCCACAATGGGGCTGGGTCCCATGAGAAGCGTGGCTGGGGTGGTTCAGACCCTCCCTGGGGGTGCAGACTGGCCCTCCTTAAATTCAGATGGGATGAGGTAAGCCTGGAACCTTCCCTGGGCGGGGGTCCAGGTGCCCCTCCCTGGGGATGGGGGAGGGGAGCATTTCACAAAGCCTCGGTGGTCTTTGAGGAAATTCTTCAAAGACATAGCCTGGTTTTCAGCACAGAGAAGCCATGAGCTTTGTGCATGGTTACCTCATTTTCCAGAACAAACCAGGTAAGCTCCCTTCCAACAGCGCTGCCCGCCGGCCATCAGCCCTGGGCCCCATGCCAGGGGACACTCCGCAGTTCCAGGCCACAGAGCATCACCCTTCTGCTCGGCAGGGAGGGTATGGAAGGCCTGCGTTCCTTTTAATCTTTTCTTTAAAAAAAAAAAAAGCAGTACCGGAGATCACAGAAAGCAGCTTGATGAGTTATCACAGAGTCTCAAGAAGCAGAGATTTGCTCCTCGGCTACAACCACTGCCCGAAATAGCCACTGTCCCTCCTGCCCCAGCGGGCACTGCCCCGTGCTGCTGCACTGCCGTCCCCTGTGGCACTGCGCCCCGCCTCACCCAGTTTTTGTTTCCGGTATCTCAGAGTCGTGTCCGGAGGTGCCCATCCATCCCTTTCTTTCCTGAACAATTTGTTTTGGAGAGCCTGCGCCAGCTGACCTGGAGAACGTCCCAGCGCCTGGATTTGGCCGGCTGCATCCCATGGTGTCGTTCAGTGTGTTCTATTTCATGCAAACTGGCAGCTGGATCCAGAGGTTTGATCAGACCCGGGGTCGACTCTTCATTGTTCAAAGTTATTCTCTTTTCGCTGATTTTTTTATGTTTTTTAATTTTTAAAAATTTTTATACAAATTTTAAAGGTTTCCATTTATAGTTACTACGAGACATTGGCTCTATTCCCCATTTTGTACGATACGCCCCTGTACCCTCTCACAGCCAGCGGTCGGTGCCTCCCCCAGCCCCACCCCGTGGGCCCTACCCTACGCTGGTAACCACTGCTTTGTTCTCTGTACCTCTGGGTCTGCTGCTTTTTTGCTATATTCACTAGTGTGTTGTATTTTATAGATTCCACGTATAAGCAATATCATACAGTATTTGTCTTTCTCTGTCTTACTTACTTCACTCAGCGTAATGCCCTCCAAATCCATCCATGTTGCTGCAAATGGCCAAATTTTGTTCTTTTTTATGGCTGTAACTATTCCATTGTGTATAATATCTACATATACACAATACGTGTGTGTGTATAAATATACACATCTTTATGCATTCACCTGTCCACGGACACTTAGGCTGCTTCCGTGTCTTGGTGGTTGTAAATAATGCTGCCGTGAACATTGGGGTGCAGGTGTCTTTTCGAATTAGTGGGGGGGGGATTTGGATATATATCCAGGAGTGGAATTGCTGGGTCACATGGTAGCTCTATTTTTAGTTTTTTGAGGAACCTCCGCACTGTCTTCCACAGTGGCTGCACCAGTTTACATTCCCACCAGTAGAGCAGGAGGCTCCCCTTTTCTCCACATCCTCTCCACCATTTGCTATGTGTGTTCTTTCTGATTTGATTTTGTAAATGTAGTTTTTGGAAAAGGAATATATTCATGTGATTCAACAGTGAATAAATATCAGAAGATTCCGGGTAAGCAGTCCCTTTCTTACTTCTGTCCCTCAGCCACTCACTTCACCACCTCTTCCTCTCTTGTCCCCAGGGAACCACTGCTTCAGTTTTTTATGTATCTTTCTAGAGTTTCTTTATATACAAGCAAATATGAATATATATTCCATCTGCCTCCCCCCTTTTTAAGCCACTGTAAGCATTCTTAAGTGTGCAGTTCAGTGGCATCAAACACATTCACACTGTTGTGCAGCCATCACCACCGTCCATCTTGGAGCTCTTTTCATCGTACCAGACTGAAGTTCCATGCCTCCTCCCGCAGCCCCTGGCAACCACCATTCTGCTTTCTTTCTCTACTCTCGATAGTTCCTTTAAGTGGAATCACACAGTGTATGGTTTGAATGTTTGTGTCCCCCCAGATTTATATGTTGGAATCCTAGCCCCCAAGGGGATGGTATTAGGAGGTGGGGGCCCTGGGGAGGTGATTAGGTCACGATGGCAGAGCCCTCACAAATGAGATTAGTGCCTTAGGAGGGACCACAAGGAGCTCCCTTGCCCACCAAGGACGTACTTTCCAAATATGTCAGAGCTTTTCAAAGCCCTCCTTTGGACATCTCATTCCTCAGCTATTTGGTTAGCCCATTATCTATGTATTATTTATTTATCTATTATTTTGGTTAGTCTGTTACTTTTTCCAACTGTTATTCATTGTCTCAGGCAGCTGCAGCATTAAAACACTTACTTGTAATTGTTTTAGACAAATGCCCCGTGGTGAAAGGCTTTTTAGCACTGAGTGAGTTCTGAGGTAGGTTAAGTAAAGATAATTTTTTCCAGTGGGATCTTCCAGGGATCCACTGGACATGTCCAGTAGCGCAAGTTCTTTGGGAATAAGGCTTTGGAAGAGCCTCAGTGCCATTCTGCTCCTTCTGAGACTGGGAATGTGGGCTGTTAATTTTCAAAGCTGACACTGAGCTAGAGAAACGGACATGAGACAGGACAAGTTAAAAATCCACAAAGTGGAGGGAGGGCATATCTCAAGTGGTGGAACACATGCTTAGCACGCACAAGGTCCTGGGTTCATTCCCCAGTACCTCCATTAAAAAATAAATAAATAAACCTAGTCACCTCCCCCCAAAAAATCCACAAAGCTTGCAACTGAGATTCAGTCAGTTTTCTTGAATAAACGCTTCCCAGGTTGCTGCAAGCCCCTGCTTAATTTCTGGAGTTCTGAAGAAGTTGATTCTGATCATTTCTGCCAGTTTTTTCCATTGATTTTATGAGGGGTGGATTTTTGATGGTTCTTACCTGGTTATTTTTGCCTCTATCACCTCTTCATTTAGTTTTGACAGCTGTGTAGTATTCCACTGGGTGGATGTATTATAATTTATTTAATGCATCCCCTGTTAGATGGTTTTCATTCTTTTCTGATTACATACAATGCTGAAAATTAATAACTCGAATATTTGTCATTTGACACGTGCATGTATCTGTAAAATGGATTCCTAGTAGTGGAATCACTGGGTCAAAGAGTGTATACATTTGTAATTTTGATAGATACTCCTCAAATTGTCTTCCATGGGATTGGTTGAACCAATTTACTTTCCCACTGACAAGGTACAAGAGTATCTATTTCCCGTAGTCTTGCTGAGAGAGGGTGTTCTTTAACTTCTGGATTTTGCAAACTTGGTGGGTGAAAATAATATCTCATTGCAATTTTACTGAGCATTTCTTTTATAAGCAAAATTGAGCATCTTTTCAGATATTTTAAAGGCCACTGGGATTATCCTTTTTCTGTAATTTTTTTCTTATTGATTTGAGGCACTCTCTGTATTAGGGAGATGAGGGCCTTCATTTTTATGTAAATAAATGTGTGTTTCCCAAGACTTTTTACTGCTGGCACATCTTGCTCTCATTGGACCCAGAGGCAGTTGAAGCACAGATGCTCTAAGCTCCCACACAGGCTGCTTCTGCCCTCCGGGGACAGGGCCAGGACCCCGGGCCCTCCTTGGGGACTCAGCTGTCTGATGTGCCAGGCTCAGGGACACACACGGGCACCAGATGTCTCCTGTCAGTTGGTTATGCTTTTCCCTCTGCTGGAGTTGTCCTTCCCCTCTTGTGACTGTGGCAAACTTCCATGTGTCCGGCAAAATCCAGACGACTTTGAGGTTAGCCTAAGAGCGCTGCCCCCAACCCCCCGGTCCTGGCCCTTCCAGACAGAAGGAACCACTTCTCTTCCTGCACCGTCTCTATACCTTGTTCAGATTTTCCCTGTTCATTTCCCTTATCCTACTAAATTCAGGTTTTAAATTAGTCTTTTTTTCCCCTAATAAAATAATGTTCATTTGCAAAATCTAACTAGCACAGGCAAACAAAAGGAAAAAGAATTTAGTCCCCAGTATGACTATTTTGGAGTCTATCTTTCTAGTCTTTCTCTTTGGACTTTAACGTGTCTGTATATATCGACAAAATTAAAATGGGATTAAATCCTGCAAACAACTTCACCCAATGCCCTTTTTGATGATTTCAGTGGTGCCCACGTTTCTGCCTCACATAACCTCCTACAGCGTGGTTTGTGACAGCTTTAACTACTTATTTGAGTTCTTAACTGACCCCCGGTGATGGGATGATCAGGTAGTGTCTAGCTTTTTACTTCTGTAAACAGTGCTGCAGTGAGCATTCTTATAAACTTAATATTTGTGCATCGTTTTTTTTTTCAGGACAGAAAGCATCCTTAGAAATAAAATTTCTAATAAATAAAATAAAAAATAAAAAAATAAAATAAAAAAAAAAGGGCTAGAGGGTGGGTAGAG